CATTGTCACCTTGCCCCGGGGATCGATTTGCTTTTGCAAGTTTAGTTTTAAAATAACCTTTTCCTTTTGGCTTTCAATTTGTTTAACCTTTTCCCATTCTCTCCTCCACTACATGGTGTGTGCATAAATTTTTTTTTTGTTGAAGGGGCCAGTTGGCGCGTCTCCCCCCAAACAATGGGAGTTTACGTAACTTCAATAAGTTTAAAATAAGCTTGTTGTTTCCCCAAATAAGTCTTCACCTTTTCCCCATTCTCTCCTCCACCACATGGTGTGTGCATAACTTTTGAATAATTTGGAAAAAGTGAAATAGTGAAATCATGTGGTCGACTCAACGATAAGCCCATTACTGTGGAAAGAGTTCCAATCCAAAACGAGAAAATTGACTAGATTCAATGCAATCAAATGAAAGTGCTGATTTTCCGCCAAATTACATCTCAAATTGGATCTATTCCGGTAAAAAGAGGGGAAATTGGCGGTAATTTTGTCGATTTTTGCAATTCTTGATACTCAAACTTCACAAAAGTTTCGCTTATTTAGTTTTGTGGTAAGTTACGAGAAAGTTACGACTTGAGAAAGTTACGAGTACACTGTTGAAGCTCTTTGAACGCTAAAACTTGTTTTTTTGTGCCTCTTCTGACTCATCATCCCTTCTTTCATTCAACAAAAAGCAGTGGCATGAAAAATGGATGCCCAATTTCCATATGTTGATTGATAATTTCCTGTTCATTCCTCTCTTTTTTGCCTCAAATCCCTCAAGGGTTAATCCCCTGAGCAACACACACACGGAAAAAGTAATCAAACCGATCGTCATCGTATTCTTTTTCTCTAAAAAAATGCTCTACGGGAAAACAAAATTCATACATTAGAAAAATAGTTCATGCAAAGAGTTCCAATCCAATTCTTCATGCAAATTTTTAATACTTTGTACCATTCTTTAATAGTAGTTTTGCGTGAAAAATCTTCATATCCATAACATCGCCAACTTGTCGCGAAAACAAACTTTCCATGCTTTCAAGCGTAATATATAACGAATGTGTCTTTCAATAGCATTTAAAAATTTTGCGTCTTCAGTTTATCATCGTTCTTCTTTTTATTGATCGCTTCCTCTTGTTCAGATATATTTCATGTTTTCGATTTTATCCGACTAACATGTTTAAGATGTTAACAAATTACAAAATAACATCTTCCTTTGATGTCGAGGATTCATTGCCGGTCTCCTCTCCCTCCTTGGAGCTTTGCTAAAGTTTGCTATAAAGCTCTGGTTCTACTAACCCGTTTCATCAATTAGAGAGTTAGTTCTACCCGAAAATTCAAAGACCAAGTAAGAAAACAGCCCTTATCAAAGCGTCGACAAATAAGCCTAAATTGCAAAAATAGAATGTGCATCATAACAAGCATAAGGCAAAGCAGTCGTTAATCGCCAAGAGCTACCTCGTCGCAATCGTAGGGATTTGACATTTGGACATGCGCGAGAATTGGATGCGGGCTCCAATAACAGCCCTTCCATCTAGACCAGTAACATCCTTATCCATCCATCAAATTTCTCATAATCCAAAAAACCAAACCGGTTCAAGTTTTATACCAAAAAACTTGGTTACATGATAGGTAAAATAGTAAATGAAAAATAGGCACTTCACTTCAAAAATATGCGCACACAGGGAAAAAATGAAACGAAAATTTTTCCTCTTTCTGTCATTTTATATCGGACGTACCGTAGAATGGGACGCCGCCAGTTTTTATTGTTTTTTAGAAATCTAATTTTGTTTCTTTTGCTGTTTTGGTAGTTTTTCTCTCACCCGGGGGGTGGGACAAATGCGACCTTTTTTTTGCGCACCTGGACATTTGCGCACCTTTTTTTTGCTGGAAAAGGCCTTAGGAAAGGTCGTAGAGCTTCAAAAATGTTTTCACAGAAGGGAATCGTATGCGTAGATTCCGAATTTCGACAAATCAGACCTCGCTGGCACGTCAAATTTGGGCTAAAAGGCAAAAACTACGCAACTTAACGCTTTTCCGCAGTTTTTGCCTTTTAGCCCAAATTTGACGTGTCAGCGAGGTCTGATTTGTCGGAATTCGGAATCTACGCATACGATTCCCTTGTATGGAAATATTTTCGAAGCTCTACGGCCTTGCCTAAGGCCTTTTCCAGCAAAAAAAAAGGTGCGCAAATGTCCAGGTGCGCAAAAAAAAGGTCGCATTTGTCCCACCCCCCATTTTATATCGGACGTACCGTAGAATGAGACGCCGCCAGTTTTTAGTGTTTTTTTAGAAATCTAATTTTGTTTCTTTTGCTGTTTTGGTAGTTTTTCTCTCACCCGTGAATTTTTTCTCTTCATAAATTTTTGCGAAATCTCACTTTTTCCAGTAACTATTAAACTAATTATGCTATTAAAAAACTTTCAAATTTTTCTTTTGATTGTGAGAACGTTTTTTACAACCTTCTCCCATGGCTTTCAGTTAAAAAAAAGCGATTGACTATACAATTTCCCTCTGTTTCACCCACTTGAAGCATGACAATCATTTTTTGAAAATGAAATTTACTACAAACCGAGCGCCCCCAAAATATCGATTTTCTCCACTGGAAATGCCAGGCGGCATTAGACAGAGAATGGGTGTGGGGAGACTGTGAAAACAAAACAAAAGCCGACAACAATGTGTGGAGGGGAAACCCTTCAATTTCCGGGGCCACCGAAAAGACAATTTACTCAATTCTCTTTCAAATTGCACTCATTTTCTCGAAAAGTACCCAGAGAATTTTTCAAAAACACATTTTATCCCTTGTTTTATGCCATAATAATGTGATAAAGGTATTTCAAAATTGTAGTTTTTAATGACAGATTTAGCATTATCTGATTTAGCTATAGAAATATCTGATTTAGTTATAGCAATATCTGATTTAGCTATAGCAATATCTGATTTAGTTATAGAAATATCTGATTTAGCTATAGCGATATCTGATTTAGCTATAGCATTATCTGATTTAGCTATAGGAATATCTGATTTAGCTATAGCAATATCTGATTTAGCTATAGCAATCTCTGATTTAGCTATAGGAATATCTGATTTAGCTATAGCATTATCTGATTTAGCTATAGCAATATCTGATTTAGCTATAGGAATATCTGATTTAGCTATAGCAATATCTGATTTAGCTATAGCAATCTCTGATTTAGCTAAATTTATCTCACATTTTACTTTATTTTCAAAAGCAGACTTTAAAGATTTAGAAGAGAACTTTTTAATTGTATACCCAAAGCAGTTAGAGACAATTTCGAAAGTAGCCTGTGGCACAAAGAAATACATATCTGTTCGACTGTTTACTACAATGCACAACGCTTTCACATCACTTGACCACAACCGACTTCAGTTGACTTGCCTAAATAAGGTAACTGGGTCGGCCACTTCGAATTGTGTATTGCAGACTTTAAAGATTTAGAAGAGATCTTTTTAATTGTATAGCCAAAGCAGTTAGAGACAATTTCGAAAGTAGCCTGTGGCACAAAGAAAAACAAATATCTGTTCGACTGTTTAATACCGAAACTTATCCGAAATGTCAGAACTTTTTCATCTTTGATTTACTTTTTATAATTCGTTTTTTTTCTTTCCGATTTCTTCACTTCATTTTGTGTAACGTTTGATTATTATTCGAAGTGTGAAAAGGAAAATTCTATGACGTTCAAAATTTTCGTTTGAACTTTTCTGTTTTGAACTTTTCAAAACACTCAATTTTTTGAAACACAATTTTTTTTGCTTTTGTAAAATACAAAATTTAGTCAAAAATTTAAATCTTTGACTCACTCAAATCTCAGGGCAATTTCAGGGCAATTTCATTTTCAAATAGGTGTTCCAAATAACAGAAAAAAAAATGGTTTTCACTCAAAATAAAAATTCCGTGATTATTTTCTATATCTAGAGAGAAACTTTCTCATCTAATAAATAGATTTTTAAACATTTTTCGTCTCCGCTTATCTTTTCTTTTTTCGTATATCGATTTTCACAGCTTGTTCAAGCACCTTTCCTTTCCTTGTTGCCCTATATCCTCAGGTGTGGTGAATTGCCACTGCTCCGCAGTTAGTCAAAAATTCAAAACACAAGTTAAAATTCAAAGTTGATGGATAAACTACCGTAATCAGTCACTAGACGATATTCAGCTGTCCGTGTTTTGTAGCTTGTATACTTAAAAAAAACCCGTTATTTAAGCTTTGCTTTTGAGTGAGTTTTTGTTCTTTTGAGTGAGTTTTTTCACAAAATTTTATGATAAAAATTTTATCGCCTACATTTTTCCCAACGACACATTTAAGACCAAAAAAATGCTAGATTTCAAGGACTATCATTTGACATTCAAGCGCACACTCTAGCATAAAGCAGCACGGAGAATGGGACGTTCAAAGTTGGATTGTACATCCATCATTACCCTTGTTTGGGGAAAGTTTGATAATAAGGGAAAGTTGGATAAATTGTGCGCTTTCAAGAAGACCACTATTGAGCCACACCGAGACACTGTCTCACAAGAAATTATATAGATCAAAACATCAACATATATTTCTTACACGCAGGCCGGGAATCGAACCCGGGTCGCTCGCGTGGCCGGCGAGCATTCTACCGCTGAACCACCTGCGCAAAAATGGTTTTCACTCAAAATCAAAAATCCGTGATTATTTTCTATATCTAAAGAGAAACTTTCTCATCTAATAAATAGGTTTTTAAACATTTTTCGCTTATCGCTTATCCGCTGATCTTTTCTTTTTCGTATATAGATTTTCACAACTTGTTCAAGCACCTTTCCTTTCCTTGTTGCCCTATATCCTCAGGGTAGATTTTCTCCCAGATCAACAATTCTCAAAAGAACCCTGCTCAAAAAAAAAAAGAAAAAAAAAACAATTTCCCCACCTTCATTTACCTTCAATTACACAAACTTTCATGTTTTCTACATAAAGGATACTTTTGTAAAACCTTTTGTAAAAAGCCTATTCAGTTCATCGCCTTTCTTCTCCTTCCGAAAAATGGACCTCAAAATCAACGCGCTGACAGCTCGCCTCCGTGGAACTCGGCTTGGATCAGCCAGTGAGTTTAGCTGACCCAAAATCTCATCGAAATCCATTCCTACCTAACATATTATCCGCTAATTTAGACATTTATTTCTGTATTCATTTTCAGCCGTGAAAACCCACTCGAAATCGGGGGAAAGCAAATCGGTTGACCCGCCGAGGTAAGAGAAAATCGATAAAAGAATTTAAAGTTTAGTCTCTTGCTAATCAGTACTTGTTAGTTCAACTTTTATGGTTAGAATTGAATTTCTATCAATTATTTCCATCAATTATTAAATCAATTTCCAGGATGAAGATGGTGCCAGCCGATCAAATCGATCACGGAACTTCTGAGGGAAGGAGGGTTTTCTATGAACAGGTAGCTTGGTACTTCAAATTTCAAAAATCAATTTAAACCAATGAGAATGGCTATACAGGGTGCGGCAAAAGTTCTGACACTTTTTCTGTAAGCAGTCATTTTTTTGGCTTCAAAAACCCGTGAATTTCAAAAAACTAACGCCGGATTCTAAAAATTTAGGTAGTTTCACCCCAATATACCGATTTTCATATGGGCTTTCATTTCAATATAGCCATTTTCATTTTCATATAGCCTTTCACCCCAATATAGCCATTTTCATAAAAAGATTTCAACTCTCAATAACTTTTTGACGAGAATTTTTTATATCCCGGTCTGGTCGCTGAAGATTTTTGCGAAAGTTGACTTAAACTTTGCAGAATGAAATTTTTTTCAAAAACTGCTGTTACCATTTGATTGAACTGAGTTTTTTTCTTGAAAACAAGCCACAAAAAAACTTTATATCTCAAAAACGAAAGATTTTCAAGCGATTCTACGAAGGGCACCCAAATCTCAACAGCAAAAAAAACTGCTGTAACGACCCTTAAAAATCCTCATCAAAAGGTTGTTTAGATGGCAATTTTTGTGTAAAAAAAGTATATTAGGGGGTAAAAATATCTGAACTTTTATAATCCGGTGTTAGTTTTTCAAAAATCGCGTTTTTTCCAAGTCAAACTGCCCGTTTACAAAAAGTGTCGGAACTTTTGCCGCACCCTGTATAGGCATTCTCATTGGTTTAAATTTATTTGGCTATAGTAGTCAACTATAGTAACTATAAAGTCACTGAAGCCTGATTTGCATCCAATTTGCTTTTAAATGAATGAAAAAGCGACAGTAACGAACTACGAAACAGAAATGATGCCAAAGGATATTTGATAGAAAGATCCAATCAAATGAATAACTCATTTAGGTGTGCTACCTTCTCAAGAAGAAGTGCAAATAAACCAGACATCATGACAAACCCTAGCTTCAACTCAAAACTCACCTTTTCTCTCTCGAAATATCAGGTGCATGTCACAAAATGGTGCTCAATTCTCTACGTGTACCCTATTCGCAAGTATATCATTTCTTTATCGATTGAAATAGCCCCAAACATTCCCATGAACTCTGTGATCTTTGCAATTGTCTACAACCGCTGATCTCATTTTTGTGCTTACTTTAATCGAATACAGTTTTAGCAAAATCAGAAAGAAAAATGCACATTTGATTTAAAGAGTACATTTGATTTAAAGAGTACATGCATGAGTTTCTTCTAACAACTAGTTGTGTACAAATTCTTTTAAAAAAGTGAACAAGTCACCTAAACAAGTGAACAAGTCACTTAAACAAGTGAACAAGTCGCTTAAACAAGTGAACAAGTCACTTAAACAAGTGAACAAGTCACTTAAACAAGTGAACAAGTCACTTAAACATAGTCCATGCTTTCTCTTGTCGTTCTCGAGTTTTCTCTTTTCCAATTTCTTTTGCTTAGTAGCTTTGGACGTTTTTGTTTTCGCCAAAGAGACGGCTATCTTTTGATGATAACTAAAAATCATTATAAAAAATTAATCACAAGTTTCTCTAAGTTAGGATAAAATATAATAAAACATACACTTCAGCTTTGCACTACATGTAGATAAGATTTTTCCTATGCCATTGTTTACGACCCTCGAGTTGCTTTAGAAAGGCTTGAAACTAAACCTTGCCATCCCTCAGATTAGACCAAAGTACAAACCACAGAACAAAATTCTCTTAAAACGCACTCTTCCGATAGAGCCGTTCAACTTTTGCCTTGCTTGCTAAATCAATTACTATATGGTACGTTTATAATCAAAACTTTCTCGGGTTTCCTCTTCGACTTCCGCGGTGAAGATTTCAAATGATTCCTTAGGGTTTTCATTTGATTTCAAATGATGCCTTCAGTTCACATTTCAACCCTTCTAACTAAAACTTAAAATGTTAGTTATCAAATAAATGGTTACTTCTGTAAGTTTATAGTTGAGAGAGTAGCTGAACATGCTGAACGGCCTTCCAACTGCTGGTCTAAAAGGAAACATTTATGAAATTTGTTAAAAACATAACTCACTTGAAAATCTCGTGTATGAGTCTCTTTGTAATTTCTGTAAGCTCGTGAAGTAATGGCTAAATTTAAAAATTTACTTTGTTCGAATCATAATTTGAATCGTTTGAATCGTTTGAATCATAAATCAAAACTAACGTCAGCGCCTTTTCAAACTTTGGTCATTCCATGCAGAGTTGGCTCGACTCTTTCGTAGCTGTGCATCTTGCCTGGAGTTTGGACCATCTAAACAACAAGAGACTAATAAATTACACGATAAACTCAAATTGTTTTGGTTGCTGTTTGCTGTTTAGAGTGGTATACTGCATTGCGCTGCATCATCACGTGAAAACCTGTCAACAACATTGTCAAAGCTTCCCAAATTTGTATATATATTTGTATTTGTTATGTATTTGTATTCAATTTGTCTAAAAAGTGCAACTACTTTTTAAATGCCATCCAAAACCGGATATAAAGATTCTACCTTGTACTCGTCCACTTCAGCAGCTTGTTTCCTTTGCTGAAAGGGTAAATCCTCGTTGCTGATCAAAGAAGAAAAATTTCCCTAGACTTTAGATTAAAAAAAATCAAAAGAATATGCACTTTCTTCAGTTTGTATTGGGTTAATGAAAAAGTCCTTTCCGATTTTTTGGGAGAGTACCTTAAACTTAAATCCAATTTTGACGTTTTATAGCTCATCCTAAAGCTCATCAAGACGGATCGATTGGTAAAAACCGTTTTGAGATATCTCTTTTCTAAAAGTTTTTACAGCTATTTTAGTAAAGGGCGGCAGAGCCAAAAAATGGCTGTTTTCACGTTTCGTTAGTTTTCCGTGCAGCTTTTCCATCAACCCAATATCACCGACAAGTACCAAAACTTCAAACGTACCCTATTCAAACGTACAATACTACTGTTTCCGTTACCCGTAGAAGAAATCTGACCTCAACGGGGAACTCCGTGACCCCGAAAACCTATAAGGGTGTTGTTTTTGGAGCTCTAGCATCTCCCGTTATCACCGACAAGTACCAATAATTCTTTCGGATTTCCGCTCTATTATTTTGGGACACTCTGTAGAAAGCAAAACAAAGCATACTATTTTTGAATTTGAATACTATTTGTTAATATCCCTTGCTCATTATTTTCTTTACCAGCTACGCGCCCGCACAGATAAATTGTCCTATTCATATCTGAAAATATAATTCTATTTTTAAATTTCCTACAAAATGATACATTAACCATGAATGTATTGGGTTGATGGAAAAGTCCTTTCCGATTTTTTGGGAGAGTACCTTAAATTTGTCGAATTTTGACGTTTTATAACTCATCCTAAAGCTGAATTCAAGACGGATCGATTGGTAAAAACCGTTTTGAGATATCTCTTTTCTAAAAGTTTTTACAGCTATTTTAGTAAAGGGCGACAGAGCCAAAAAATGGCTGTTTTCACGTTTCGTTAGTTTTCCATGCAGAAACCTAGGCTAAAAACATGTGTTTCGTGATCAGCGTCAAAAATAACCCCTAGACAAGCATTTTCAGAATCTTAGCAAAAATTTTTTGAAAAATATTGTCGCCGGTGGAAGTCGAACCAGCGATCCTCAGATCAATAGCCTTTCCGTCGCTTTTCGCGATTTTCCTTCGTTTGTCTCGTTTTTTTTTGTTGTACCCTAAAATTTACCATAATAACAAAAGACCCAAACACTTACTTCGAAAAACCTGTTCCGCCGAGGTTTTGTTTCCAAACGCCGACTGTGTCTCCATCGAGTCCATTGACCTTTTTCCGCACGCCTGTAAAATTTAATAATAGGTAAATGTTTTCAAAAAGTTTAATAATCTATGGTTCATTCGTTTATCATAAATACGCAAATTTTTGTCTTTTTGTAAATGTTGAATGTAAATTTGTTCTTTAAATTCAAATGCAAATTTCATCTTGAGTTCAAAGTCGTAACTCTCAAACCAAGGTTTTCCGACATTAAATTCTCTGTTTCTCGACATTCTCTGTGCATTAAAATGTGATTCAACACATGAACATTTTTGAATTTTCAATGTTTTGACTAAAAGCCGCTTGCTCCTTTCGTCATTGAGAATGTGAAAAACGAAAACTGGACGTCACCTCCTCCTTGTCAACCTTTTATTTAATCGATTACTTTATTGCGAGCTCAAAATTTTATAATTTGAGACTAACTATAAAATATTGAGCCAAAGAAAGACGACAATCTTATTCTCAACAAATCGCCGCTTGTCCCTATGCTCGGGAATTGATCGAATATTTCCCAGCACATCAATCATTTCCACTTTCGATTCTAGATTAGTCATTTCGAGGAATTGTAGGACGATTTCTGTTTTTCTTCTCGAATATCCAATGAATTCACTTCTTACACTCACCCAATGAGGATCTCTTCTCAAAAATACGGCTTTTTGGTGTTGCTAATCTTTCCAATACTCTGGTTTATTGCACCCTGCCATCGTCCAAGTTTGTCCGGTGATTTTGCGTTTAAAATTATTTATAATATCAAGATTTAGTTAAATATCTTAGTCCTCAGAAAAAGACTCATGGCATTCACAAGCCTCAAGTTATGAGTACGATGCGAGCGACGGTGCAACAAACTCTTAAAGTTGTAAAGCCAATAATGGTCACGAAAAAACCAATAACTGGTTGCAAGCCCGCTGAACTCCCAGATCAGGATCTCTATCGAAAGATTTTGCAAGATCACGAAAAGTAAAGTTTTTAAACTTTTGCTAACTTTAAAGGGGGGGGGGGCACATCGGCGCGAAAATGCGTTTTCGATAGGATTTTTCTGGGAGTACCTTTTTTAGATGCGGAAAATTGTGCTGATTCCGAATCTGAAGGAATTTTCCAAATCCCTCTGACAGAAATTTTTTAAATTGAGTTTTAGCAGTTTTTTTGGTCATTTTGTATGGGAAATTTTGTGGTACCCTGCAGTTTGGAGCTCGTAACTCGAAAACGAGGGTCTAGAACCAAAAACGAAGGGATAAGTTTAATTCTAGAGACTCTTACGAACATTTTGATGCAAAAATCATCAAATTTTCTCAACTCTACAAAAAGTTATAACATCTTTAAAGAAATTTTGCAAAATACACTAAAAACATCAGGGGAAACCGTGGCCGAGTGGTCTAAGGCGCGCGACGTCAATCCAGCGCAAAAGTACGGGGGTTGTTGGTTCGACTCTCCCGCGCACTTCAGTCATTATTTTGCATATTCCTTAATTGTTTTGAGTGAATACGATACATAGCTACATTGTTCTTTTGAACAAAACAATTGTGCAATAGAGAATTTTTTAAATTTTCTCATTTCTTCTTTAAAAAATGTTATAACTTTTTGTAGAGTTGAGCAAATTTGATGCTTTTTGCATCAAAATGTTCGTAAGAGTCTCTAGAATTAAACTAATCCCTTCGTTTTTGGTTCTAGACCCTCGTTTTCGAGTTACGAGCCCCAAACTGCAGGGTACCACAAAATTTCTCATACAAAATGACCAAAAAACCGCTAAAACTAAATTTTAAAAATGACTGTCAGAGGGATTTGGAAAATTCCTTCAGATTCGGAATCAGCACAATTTTCCGCATCTAAAAAAGGTACTCCCAGAAAAATCCGATAGAAAACGCATTTTTGCCTTATTTCGCGCCGATGTGGGGGGGGTATTAATCGCGGTCGGGTGACGATAAAAAATTTTTTACGGCAACCACCTATTTTTTTATTTTAATATCGCTGATTTTATTATAAAAAGAATAAAAAACACCCGGCTAGAGTGATTTGATGGGTTTACAAATTTTTGGAGACGCTGCAAGGCTTGGAAAAAACAAGATCTTCACTCATCAGACACCTCAGCACAGTCTAGGTCGATTGCGTTTTAGTTGCAGATAAATTTAAAAACAAAATAAAAAGCACAAAAAACAATAAAAATAAATTGTTAATCTATAATTCTTCCTCTTGCTCACTTTGATCTTCGCTCAAGTACAGCAGTTCCTCAAATCGGCTTCCTATCTTATCAATTTCCAGCACATCTTCACCAGAAGTGACTGGATCTCCTCCACCGTAGGACGTCTTCAGCGCTTTGATTGACACAATTAGATCTTTTTTCCATTTGTGGTCGCTTGTGGTTTTAGTTTTCTCAAATAGGTGCCTTTTAGCTGAGGTGTCTGATGAGTGACGATCTTGTTCTTCTCCAAGCCTTGCAGTGTCTCCAAAAATTTGTAAACCCATCAAATCACTCTAGCCGGGTGATTTTTATTCTTTTTATAATAAAATCAACGATATTAAAATAAAAAAAACAGGTGGTTGCCGTAAAAAATTTTTTATGGTCACCCGGCCGCGATTAATACCCCCCTTTAAGGAAAATAGAAATGATTATCAAAAATATCAAAAAAACTGTATTTTAGATTCATCCTAAAAGCCCCGAAACCGCCCTCTCCAAACACTACTTTTGTTGTTTTTGTCATTCATTCCGTAAATAACACGAAAGTTCGAAAAGAGATTCGCGAAACTTGGCTCAATCCTAATGAAAGTAAAGTGATCCGGGTAAGCAAATCTTCTAAAACACATTTTCCCATTCTAGAACGGATCCGCACAATATTATTTCATTGTCGGAAAACCGAGAAACCCAGAAAATCTCTTCGAGAGCGATGTCCTTTATACGAATATTTCGGAAATATATCCGAATTTAGTGTTGAAAGTGAGTTTAAATGTTAATGACTATTTAAATTACTTAAATGATTTCAATGACTATTCAAGAATGTTAAAATTTAGGAGTTAATAGCGTACCTTTGGTTGGTGAAACATAAAAAGAACGGGCAAATGTTAAAGGTTTGAAAAATTGAATAAGATTTGAAACTGATTAAGGAATTTTGTTAAGTCAAGATCGAGTTTCCACATGTGCCCTGGGCCATCTGATAGAGTTTTCAACGGGGATCTTGAATCTGCTTTTAGTTTTTTCCGGAACACTTCTGTAATGCGAGATATTTAGCATACAAAGTTTGGCGTTTTTTTTTGACTGGTTTACAAGCTTTTCTCATCATTTCCTAATGCCAAATATCTTGCATTACAGAAGCGTTTCGGAAAAGCTAAAAGCAGATTCAAGATCCCCGTTGAAAACTCTATCAGAAAAGCCGAAGCTCATGTGAAAACTCGATCTTGACTTGACAACATTCCCTAGTGTGTTCAGATCGATGGAAAGGATACGGTGGCGAACTTGGATCGGCTTTCCTCACAGGTGGGTAAGCAAACTTTACGGATATCTTCAGGTATACAAAACTGAACAAATTTTGCTTTATCGAACTGCCAAAATTCTTAGGTCAAATGGAATGAGCAGAAAATCTCGTGTCTCCTCTGGGATCCCGTTCAACCGAATCGAAACATTTGTAGTCCTTGGTAAGTAGAAGAAATAAGAGAATCTAAATCTTTGGCTGAATATCTTTGGTTGAGTTTCTTTTGTTTGATTCTCAACTTTGAACTTCTAGGTACGTCCCCTTGAAGCACTATTACAAACCGGTTTATCCACGGTATTGCGGTGGACCAGCGTACATGATTCCAATACGCCAACTCAAGAAGTTACTCAGCCATGCGAGTAATCATTCGGTAAAATAAATTCAAATCACTTTTGAGTACTGTATAAGCTATGGATACTATATAAACGATGGGTACTGTATGAGCTGAATAAGCCAGAAGTACAGTACAAACCACAGGTACAGTATAAACCACAGGCACAGTGTGAAGGTAAGAAATTAACAAATAATGAGTCCCAATATATTTGCTGTAAATATTTTCCACACAATTCCCAGGCTCTCGTTGTTGAGGACGTCTTTTTCACTGGCGTTTTGGCTTTCAAAGCTCGAGTGAAGAGAAAAAATCTTGGCGAGATTTTTCGAACCTATTGTCCACAAAGAAAGGCAAAAACTCTAAAGGTAAAAGTTTTTAAGCCTAAAAATTGCAGCCCAGCTGGTAAACGCAATTATTGAGAGAGCAATTCATGAGATTTCAGATCTTTCAACGTCGAGCAATCGCTTGTTCTAAGTCCAAAAAAATGGTCACCTCCGTTTTGTCGCGTCATTGCTATGTAAAGTTTCTTAAAAAGCTAAAAAAAAACCCGAATTTAGAATCGAAAGCGTAAAGAGATTTGGGATCTATTGAAAAATGGCACATGCACGTGATTGAAATGATTTGTTTTCTCGTGAATTTGCATATTACTATTTGTCGGATCAAAGAGAATGTGCCTCTTAAATAATAACTTATCTATTTTGCTTTTGAATAACTTTGAAACTTTGTCAACCACACAACACGGCAAATATTGGGTTGATGGAAAAGTCCTTTCCGATTTTTTGGGAGAGTACCTTAAATTTGTCGAATTTTGACGTTTTATAGCTCATCCTAAAGCTGAATTGAAGACGGATCGATTGGTAAAAACCGTTTTGAGATATCTCTTTTTTAAAAGTTTTTACAGCTCTTTTAGTAAAGGCCAAAAAATGGTTGTTTTCACGTTTCGTTAGTTTTCCGTGCAGAAACCTAGGCTAAAAACATGTGTTTCGTGATCAGCGTCAAAAATATTTTCGCATTTTCACGACACGCATTTTCAGAATCTCAAAACGGTTTTTACCAATCGATTCGTCTTGAATTCAGCTTTAGGGTGAGCTATAAAACGTCAAAATTGGACAAATTTAAGGTATTCTTCCAAAAAATCGGAAAGGACTTCCATCAGCCTAATATTTTGCTTTTGAATAACTTTGAAACTTTGTCAACCACACAACACGGCAAATAGAAACACGCTTTCCCCGTTGTAAACAAAATTTGCATGCGATCAATAAATTTGCATACAAAGCTCTATGTGGCGTTATCTATGTGGCGCAAAAACTTTTCCTCATTTTTATTGACTTGTGCGTCTTATTTTACCTCGTTGTCGACATGTCTCTTGAGGCCACACAGGAAACGAGCGATTTTAGCGGAAAGGTTTGCATTTCAGCTTATAACAAACTTGTGAAAAAGTTCTTTAGTTGTTTAGTCAGTTGAATTAGTCAAGGCTTATCAAAAGACATTATTCAAGCTTCTTATTCATTTGATTCTTCTTATTCATTGGATTCTTCTTATCCATTCTTATTCATTTGTTTTTCAGCTTGTCGATGTCGATATTGAGAAGGAGGTGCGTGACGATGGAAAGGGAATCGAGGCAACGGGACGATCAACAGTAAAAAGGGGAACATCAGCGAGACATCAATATATTCCCATCGATGAGAGCATTCACGAGGGCTTGGTATGGTTAAGCTTTTTGTTAAGATAATATAGTATTGCTTTTTCGAGATGTTGATGCCTAATAATTGGGAGTATAGTAGTTGGGAGTGGAGGGGGGCAAAACTTTTTTTTGCCAAATGAGCTGAGTTTTTTGACTATTCTGAATCGATTGGTGATGGTTTCACACAATATTTTGCAACTTTTAACAACGTTTGTAACAAATGTACTTATTCTGGGATGAAACGGCCAAAAAGTACCCGTTATCTTGAGTCATGTCTTCGTTGGTAACTTGTTGACATTTTGTTGTTGTTATTTTTGTTGCTATTTGTTATAAACCTTGTTAAAAGTTGTGAAATGTTGTGTGAAACCATCACCAATCTATTCAACATAGTCAAAATCTCAGGGTGCAAAAAATCGGCTCATTTAGCAAAGAAAAATCCCCCCCAACTACTATAGCACCTATTAATTTACCTATCAAATTCAGGAGACGGGTCGGAGTCAAAGCAACAGCACCGCCAAATGTACCCTGAACATTGCTGGTCCCGGTGAGTTGTTGAAAGCTTTTGTTTTTACATTAGGGTCTGGTTAATTGTAAGTTATTTTAATTCTAATTTTTTTGATTATTTAGCAGCGTTGTCAATGTGTGTTGGGCGTGCTTCGGCCTCCTACTCAGCTCGACGTGAGCAATGGCCTCTTGAGTTGCAGCTCCAATGTTGCTCAGGTTTTTTCTAATTTATGCACTATTTGAATTTTTTTATTTAGGTCCAAGCAAGAGCATGCACGGCGTGTTCCGTGAATTCCATCAAGAGGCTAGCTCTCCATGGCTATCCGGTGTCTTGAAACCCAAAGCTAACAATGTCATTTCGGTTGGTTTTGAGTTTTCCTTGTTGATCCAGTATTCAGCAGTTTTAAAAGTTATCAAGACTCAATTTGTTTGTTTGTTGTTTCTAATTTTTTTTGGTTGTTTCTGAATTGAAGTCTGTCTCTGCAAAAGGAATATCTAAAATTAATAATTTTTCGATTTTAGGGAGAAACGAACGACGTAAATGACAGCAAGGAGAAAGAGAACGCAATGAAGCACTCCAACTTCAAGTAATATTAAACGGCCCCTCCAGAAACATGGAAAATTTTTCACCAATTACAGCGAATAAAGATTTTCATTATTGTTGAATAGAAATTTTTGGAAATCGTTATAAAACGATTACTGTGTGATGATGTAAATGTTTGTTTTACTATTAGCATTGCTAAAGTCAAAAGTTCTGTTTTTGTGTCGAAAGAAAGATCCGAACGAGCCACTACAATGCACAACGCTTTCACATCACTTGACCACAACCGACTTCAATTGACTTGCCTAAATAAGGTAGATGGGTCGGCCACTTCGAATTGTGTATTGCAAGAAAATTTGAAAGCATCCACACAGTTCTTTTTATGCTTCGTTTTGCTAAGATTAAATTCCCTAGTTAGTTAACAAAAACGGCTATTTCTTCGTTTACTTTTCTTGTTTATGCTTCAAAAGAACGATAACTTTGCATAAAATGTGTGTATTTCAGTTTCACCATGGGGAACTCGTTATCTGCGACGACTCCGGCGGAGATCATGCCCGTTGAGTTTTACATCAACGATTTTGTTGAGCAAGACTCTATAGAAAGGCGAGTTTTACACTTTCTAGTTTGTTATTTTCTGTTTTTAGGCTAGGAAGCACACGTTTCATGAAAGTCGCTCGTGGCAGAACGAACGAAAATGGCTTGCAGGTAATTTTTGGCATTGCCAATTAATTTTTTTAAAACCTTGATCTTGGAAGTATGACCTTTGATTCAGGTTTTGAAAGTGTTCGTTTTCCCGGCGGCTGACCCCTCTCAATTAACGGCGGATCCATCCCAAATTGAGGCTCATTGTGCTGTGATTCTGCAAATACGTGATGCTTTAATCAACACGGCAAATTGTTGCACTGTGAAAAAGATTTTGGTTGGTTTTTGGAGTAGAATCTAGCTATATATTTTTTTATCAAGAAAAACATAAATTTATCTTTTTAGAAAAAAGCAAAATATGCCGTAAGCTGTCGACCTTATCAAAAGTACACCCTGTTTGATCGTTTGAGCACCCGACCGTTTGTTGTCGAAACCGAGAGACTGTGGTACATGTACCAATTGTTTAAGGTTCGCCTTTTCATTTTTTTGAGCTTCCTTACTTACAGGCCTTACTACAATGCGAAGAGTCAAAAATTTGTCATGGTGACATAAAGAGCGAAAACATTCTCATCTCGTCGTCGAATTGGCTACAATTGACCGATTTTGCTTCATTCAAACCCGCATTTCTACCAGTGGTAAGTTCGTTGAGGAACTGGTAAAACATTTTTATTAATTTGATTTACAGATGCTTAAACTAATGTTGGATCAAAAGTTTAATTGGCTTATCGTAAAGTCAGAGTTTTAGGATAATCCTTCAAACTACACTTACTACTTTGACACCTCGAGGAGACAAACGTGCTACATAGCGCCTGAGCGATTTTTGGGGTCCGAAGAGTATAGTCGACAAGAGGGCCGTTTCTTGCAATATGGTATGTTATTTTTAAATGAGCTGAACAATTAGGTTGTATGTATTAGAATGCCTTCGTCACTCAATGGACATGTTTTCAACGGGTTGTGTGATTTATGAAATGGTTTGCGATGGACAAGCACCGTTTTCGTATGGAGGTTTGTGCATGTACAGAGCAATGGGACCAGCGGAAGCGGCACAATTTCTGGATACGTAAGTTTCTCAGGCTTTTTTAATCGCGGAAAATGGTGTTTTTAGTTTACTTGCTCCAGTTTCATCACCACTGCGACCACTTTTACGGATTCTCCTTGCAAGAGAGCCAAATCTCCGGCCAACTGCTTCAAAAGTTGTAGGTTTTTAACAAGGCAAATTTTATCTAGAACTAAATTTTGAAGGAAAATGCAAGCTTAATTTTCAGCTTGCTGAGTTCTCGCATCTTTTCCCGCCTGTCTTCGAGGTGTTCTTGTACAATTACTTAAATGTTTTTCGATCAAAAGAGGTTCCGTTTTAGTAAACCTTTTTTGCAAGATTTCATTGTTTCAGGTATCAAACTTGAATAGTGTTTCAATTGAGGATATTGATGTGAATCATCGATCGATTTCTTGTTTTGAACCTGATGATATTATTGAAAGGTAAACCACTTTAGTTTAAATAGTTTTTATAAATAATTTAGAATATCCAGTGATATGAAAACGGTGATCTGGCCTCAAATTACAGCGCAAGAAAATAGTAAACAGGTTAAATTTTAAATTAATTTTCTCATTCAAAAACATTTTAGGCATCTGTCTTATTTATTGGTCTCATCACTTCAAATTTTCGAGCTTTGCGAGCGATTCCTATCAAAATTGTAAATGTTTTTGGAGTTTTAGCTTGATCGAAAAAACTTTTAGGAAGCGATGCGTTTGTTGCTCGAGTTCTCGAAGCTGACCAATTCTTCGATCGCTATTGATAGAATACTTCCATTCCTGGTTAGTGAGTTTAGTATTTTTTAAAAGCTCTACTTTAATTCTTTAGAAACCTTTCCCATTCTAGGTTCATGCGGCTTTGATGGACAACGAAGCAACTGTGCGTGGAAGAGCCATTCTCTCGATCACAACATTGCTTGCCGCATTTGAACCAACGACACAAGAAGAAGCGGCCGTATTTATGGACTACCTTCTGCCAAAATTTGTAAGAAAGATTTGCGCCCTTTATTTAAGAATTTTATTGTTTAAAATCTACATAACTTTAAAGTTTAAAACTTATCGTGCTTTAGGATACAATCGCTCAAGACACAACTCGGCCCGATTCAGCGGTTCACATGACACTGGCGACTTGTTTAGGAAAAATTGCTGAAACGGCGAATAGGTTTTAATTAATTTACTGCAAAAATAATATTGATTTAGATACATGATCACGTCTCGTTCACTTCAGCAGGAGTCTGTTGATGATGAAACATCGGGAGCTGAGGTGATAAATGGTAAGGTTCGAAGGAGAACATGCCTTTATACAAAATTTAGATGCTAATCAACATGATCGAGAAGCACTGGCGTTGTTTAAAGTAGAATTTACTTAGCTGCCTTGTTAAAGAATATTTTAGGCAATTGCCGGCATTTTTGTGCACCTTTGCTCGCGCGGCAATGAAATTAAACAATGTGTGGTTGACAGGGAGTCTCTTGAGAAGCTACACGTATTCACCGACTCGATTAAAGGTAAGCAAAAACGTTTTCGATTTTAAACCTTTGAGTTTAGATTCGGATTCCGGTTTTCCTTTGCAACATATGGTCACGTTCTTCAACATTAAACAAGATTGGAGGTTAGATAGTGAACTTTTTTGAAACGTATAAAATTTGTTTCAAGGTTACGAGCCGTGTTCTTTGATGCACTCCCACACTGTGTTATTCACAAGAAAAGTGTCGATATTCTTCACGCGTTGCTAAATCAGGTAAAGCTTCTCATCTACTAGCTAGATCTATTAGCTAATAGAACAGTTGAATAATCTATGTAGCCATTGGAAGTTTATTGATGATAGAAATTATGTGATTCCATTAAATTTCTATAAAATTCTGTTTTAGGGAGTGATTGAATATGAAGAGATGGTTGTCGTACGAGCCATTCACTGTATTGGACTTCTTTCGGACAGAGATCTACTCGAAAAAGAAAGCGTTCAAAAGCTCTTCTTTGTCTTGACGCCATTCCTCTCTCATCCGGTTAACAATTTATCTTTATCATTTAACTCCACAATTTTCAGAATGAATGGATTCGTGGTGCCGTTGTCGACTTTCTGATTGTACTCGATTCGAAATGGACTTTGGCTGAGGTTGAGCATTTGTACAAAAAGTAAACCCTTGAATTAAGATCCATTGCCGAGTTCTCCAACATATCGATGAGTACTTAACACGGAAGATGCTTCGTTTGAACAATAAAGTTTTAAAACATTGACTTATTCCGTTTTAATTTAAGTTTAGACGTCGATTATCACTTCTTTGAAAGAGCCGATTCCGCGAGCCGTTTGGAGTCAAGTGATGGATTTGGACGAGAAGAGAGTGGAAGAGTTTTGCAAGATTCTAAGTAGCTTGCATTCACATCATTTAAGTTTATTTCAAAGTTTAGACGACTTAAAAGTTCAACGGCTCATTGGAAACTTCAAAGTGTCGGATCCAGTGCTCTCGAGAATCTTGAATGGCAATTCAATGTACGTCTTTTCTTGATAATCTTTTACAAGTTTCTTTTCAGCGATAAAGATGAATCTTTATTGCGACGTTTGGCCAATTTTTCTTCATTATTTCCAGAAATGGTTCGCTCAAGAATAGCGTAAGTTCTAATCTTAAGTTGGTTGCAATTAATTGCTTTAGTTCATCTATGGAAACTCGAGTCACCCAATACAATGGGGTCATCGATTTGGCTTCGGATTCAAATTTACGAGTGGAAAAACACGAGCATGTACTTGGCGATAAAATAGAGCTCTCGACAAGGGTTTGTTTCAAAGGTTTCTGTACACACCGATATGTCATTTACAGAGTCAAGTGATTGTCGAACCACGTCAAATCGATCATTTTTCCGTTAACGATGCTCCTCGGATGCGATCTATCCGCGATACAGTTTGTGATGCGGCTGTCCGCGAACTTCTTGAACACAAAAACGATCAGTTTCGAAAAACAATAGGAAGACCGAGACCTGGATCGACGGTGAGATTTGTGTAAAAATGGGCCCATTGCATTAATTTTAGACAAAACAATGGCATAACTCGCCAAATCATGGCACTCTCGTTGCCCATCTACACGAGCACTCGGAAAGAATCAATGAGTTGGTTTAAAAACTGGCACCTTCTAAATGGAACGCAAACATTTCCTTTTAGGCTAGCTGTACAACCAACTGGTGATCGATTTGCTTCGGCTTCTTCGGATGGCTCCATTAAGGTTTGCTTGTGCTGCTGTTGTGCTAAATAAATTTTCGTTTTTAGATTTGGAATGCAAAACTATTCAACGGTGATGCTGCAACGGCGACAAAATGTGAAGGAAAATGCTCTTACAGCAAAAGTTCGTTTTTTTTTTCGGACACCTTTTGGCTTCTTCAGATCATAAAATCCTGTCGGCGGGTTGGGCTTGCGATGGGCAACTTTTATGTTTCTCTGCATCAGATCGGCGGATAATTTGGGCGGATGTTAGCAGTGGGAATAACATCAAAATTTGTGGCAAAGTAAGTGAAGCGAGTGAATTTTTTATTTATTTTTTCTTTTTTTAATTGTGACTTTCTAGGTTGAATTCGAAAGTGAAGTGGGTGCCGCTGAACAAATCTATGTCTCTGGCCAGCTTGCTTTTGCCCGAACGCATCACGGATATTTCTACTTACTTGACTACCGGTTAGCTTTCCTTTATTCAGAATCAAAAAGTTAGTACTTTTCAGAATGCCCAATCAAGGATCACTGGGAAGACATGTTGTCTGGCGTCGTCAGTTACCAAACAATCATGGATTGGTATGTTTTTTGAATTTTACAGAACTACACAGATTGGTCATAAAAATTCTCTCTAATTTTGAAGACTATCATCCTAGGCTACCTCTTTTACAATCGACCCTGAACGTGAGAATTGGATGGTTGTCTCGACGACAAACTATGTTCTTTCACTTTGGGACTTGAGGTTTTGCAAATTTTCAAAAGTTTTATGCATTCTTTTTAAGATATCCAATCGAAGTAAAAACTTGGCAGACAACTGAAGACAAAGAAGCAAGATTGCCATTAAAAGTTTGGGCTCTTCCGAATCAAATGCAACACGCACAAGAGGGACCAGAGGTTTGACTTGCTTGGCTTATGGATTATTTGGGTTTACTGATCAATTTTTATAGGTTTTTGTTGGATACATGCACCGGGGTCACTTTGATTCCTATGAAGTTCATTCTGGATTGAGGTTGGAATTGTTATGCATTCAACATTAGTTCAGATTTTAGGAAACGGGTGTTTTGGCCATCTCTCAGCGAACCATTAAATTACAATGCAACAAGGGAAATAGATGTATGTTTGCTTTTGGAATAAAAGAACAAAATGATCTTTTAGAATGATCGAAATGTCGCCACAACCTCGATGGCATTTTGCCCTGAGTCGGGCTTCATTTATACCGGCGATAGCATTGGAGCACTTCGACGGTAGACTTTACACCTAAAACATTATCAATTATTTAATTTTCAGATGGAGTCTTGACAATATAACAGCATGCGAGTACTTGAGTGGGCCACACCGACCGACTGGCGAGTTTTTGCGACAAAGAATCGTTTTCGATATGTCTATGCAGGTTTGTTACTCCTACATATTTTCAAATTTCATCACGCATTTAGGCAATGGATGGAGAGGAACGACGATATTTTGAGAAAGCGGCTCCGATTGATCGGCTGGCAATCGATCGAACGAAATCTCCGTTGGAAACAAAGGTCTGTGTTTTCTCAGTGGCTGAAAAGTTTTCTGAATTCGACAGCCAACAATTTGAAAATCATCTTTATCATCCCATTTAGGTAACATCGGCGCATCGAACAGCCATCACTTCACTATGCACTTTGCCCGGAAATCTTTTGGCATCAGCAAGCCATGATGGAATTGTCAAAATTTGGAAGTAATTTAAATCTTTAATTTTAGGCGGGTAATCTTAATTTTTTTGCATAGTGTAATAAGTATTTACGTTGTGATCTTGCTCAAATTTGTTTTTTGTAAGTTTTCTTCTTGTGATAGTGTAAATAGCGTATTCAGGTAATTTCTCATAAGGTTGTCTTTTCAGGTTTTATAGATGTACATAGGGATTAATAAATGTGCATAGATTGTGGCAAAACACCAAAAGTGGGTTAGAATGTTTCACGTAACAATGGGCAAACACGTTTTTGTGGTCTCGAGAACAATGAGCGATGTTTCACATATTGAAATTTCGAAAATAGAAACAGTTTCTCGCTGGGTAAAGCTTAAACATATTTGTTATTATTTTTGTTATTGAAGCGTCATAATAATAAATTTGCTGGCATATGGTATCGATAACAACACCGACCGAATAACCACATGTCTACATTTAGACGTGAACATAAAATTCGCACTTTTTCTTTTCGAACTGTCTCCTCAACGTCACCTAATGTCCTTTTGAAAGCGCAGTCTAAAATAAACCTTTTCAATGGATATTTTCTCCCCCAGCCAATCATCAATATCTTTTTAATACGTTTGAAAAGGGTGGAAGTGCTTTAATTCACAATATATAAACGGCTTGAAAAGTTTCGCTCAATCGTTTTTCGTGCTATGAGAAGAATTTCTTCTCACCGATTTTTCGTTAACTAAACACCTTTTAAACTGCAAATATTCGCTTCTACAAACGAGTGTCGCTGCTTTTTTGGGTGCTTGCCGCACAGTTGATACTTTATTGTGCAAGTGAGTTTTACCTTGGCTAAACGATTGAAGGTTTAGACGTTTCCTGAAACATATCCACTTTGAAAACTATAACTAATCTTATCTTATAGTTTATATGATAACTGCTCTACTCCTTGACCTCTTTTTTCTTGATTTTGTAAGCGCTATTCTAAAGACAATTTTTCTGGGATATGGCCTAGCGTTCAGATTATCGAGAGGCAAGATTATCGTGGTTTTTAAGACGTTTTTAAAAATGAATACGTTTTTAGAAAAAGGATTATTTGAGAGGATTTTAGGCTTTAATTGAAAATCTTTTTAACACGTTGACGACATTGTCACCTGATGCTGTCTGACACATATTCGTTCGCCTGGGACATTGTCACCTGATGTCAGGTGACATTTTTTGTCGAAAAAAACAACGTTGTCCCATGCGATTGTTTGTGCAAAAACGCCATTGTCGTCAACGTGTTAAAAAGTGAAACTTAAAGGCTTTTCTACTAAAGTATTTCGTTTACTAATTTCCTATTTAATATGCAAAATTTCAGAAAAATTCACTCCAATAAACTCATCTGAAACGACTCATTTGTATGAGGGGATTCTGAGAAAATATGACGAGTGTGTTTAAGGGAAAATTTCGATCCCATATCATTTCGCATTTTCAGCTTTATCGTTCGACAACCGGTAGCATACGATTCGGTGATGCTCACCGTGTTTGTGATGCTATCGGATAGTGATCAAGCGGTCCGAGAAGCCGTCCGATCAACGTGGGCCAGTCCCGGGGCGTCCAAATATTTAAAGGTAACACAAATTCGCTACGAAAAGTCATGCTTTTAAGTTCTTATCAGAGAAATTTTGATTACATACAGTCGACTCTCGATATAAAAATTTTCTAAATTCTAAAATACCCCCTTGCTTTCTGCGCAACTGCCCAGCCAAACACAATCGTTGGCCGTCAGGGGCCCTGACTCAGGGCAGCTACGCAAGAAATTCGGGGCACTTTCTGGAATCGTTAAATCGAAATTCTTCGCCTCGAGCTAATCGTTAAAACGAGAGTCGAGTAGATTCTGCTATTTAATCAAAGTTCAATCAACAACTGCAACAAACGGATGCAAAACTGCTTGGGTACCGTAATCCTTCCATTAGATTTTGCGTAATACTCTTCAATGATCTTCCATCAATTGTATCTAATTGTAAATTGGGCGGTGGCTACTTTGCGCCAAATTTTTTGCGCAACTCGCCATAACTTCCTTCTGAGTGGGCCAATCTTTATCATTTTGGTGTCATTTTGTTGCACTTATTGAGATCTATAAAATAACACCAAAATCATAAAGATTGGCCCACTTAGAAGAAAGTTATGACTCATCTAGGTCAGGACCATCTTCCTTCCGACTCTTCTGATCAATAACTTTCTTCTAAATGGGCCAATCTTTATAATTTTGGTGTCATTTTGTTGCACTTATTGAGATTTACAAAATGACACCAAAATCATAAAGATTGGCCCACTTAGAAGAAAGTTATAGCGAGTTGCGCAAGAAGATTTGGCGTAAAGTAGCCACTCCCGTAAATTGAATAGGAATGAGCAGAACGGGCAAACATCGGTTTACGGTAGTTTTCCAAATCACCCACTTCTTAGAAAATGCATTAATTGTGAGGAATAGTGAAAACTTTCAAAAAGTGACTTTAGCACGGATTGATTCAAGTGATTTTTGTGGTCGGCTCCTCTGATCATTCACTCACCGACTCCGATCACGATGTTTTACAAGTTTCCGTCAAAGAAGAATACCGAAATTTATTGTATAAAGTAAGCTATTGAAACGACAATTCATATAGGATATCCCAAAATTATTGCAACTATTTTTACTTGTGATTTCTCTCTCGTTGCCCCGATTGAAATGATTTTTTGTATCAATCGAGAGACGAAGAAATGACAAAACTAATGACACCAAAACGATTTCAATTGGGCAACTGAGCGCCGAGAAATTCGAGTTTTAAGTTAGACCCGAAAAACAGCGATTTGATGGGTTTGATGATCGTTTGGAATGTTGATATCGTGACCTCAATGGCTCAGAATACAGTTGAAAAAGAAGAAGCGAGGTCAAAGTGCCTCAAAGTTAACTAAATAACTTAAAGTTTAAGTTTAAAGTTAGTTAAATTTAGTTATTAAACTTATTTAAAGATTGTCAATAAAATAAAAAAAAATTCGAGAAAACGAAACGAGATTTTTGCAGTCATGGACAAAAGTATACAAAGAACAAACTTCTAAAAACCAACGTTAAAAGACTTTTGTACATGACTGTATATATGTCGTAGCCGCTTCACTCCCCAATGGTTCAAAGGGGACCAGCCAAAGCTTGCCTAATAGCCTTTTGTGCCTTTGATGTAGCCTAAGTAAGCTACATTGAACTTTTGTTTTTCAAAGCTGGAGGAAGGGGCGAGGAACGACTCAGTTGACTCGGTCGCTGTTTTCACTTTGGATTGCCCTGTTTGTTCCTCGCCCTCTTTCTCCTACTTTAAACGAAATTGTTTTGTTGCTTTACTTTGACTACCAATTGGCTACAAAATGGCTATTGGCTTTTTTTGGCTGGTAGAATTTTTTGCCATTTCGGGCTTTTGCCTACTTTGGGGTCTTTCTCCTGGCTAATTTCAAATTCATTTAAATTTGTTTATGCTTTTTTGTGGTGCTTTTGTTGGTGTCGGCCCTCTCGTTGCGGCCGACATTGTCGGCCGTGAAATCCAGCCGCTAACGAATCATTCGTTAGCGGCTGAATTTCGTAAACGGCTACGACATATACAAAAGCTGTTGATGTCTTTCTGAAGCGATGAGTGAAGTCCAGTTGAGGTCAAAGCATAAACTTTATTACTATTTTGCTTGATCTTTTGGGTAATAAGCTTCTTGTTTTAGTTAGCTTTAACCTTAAATTGTTGCCTTAAAATCTTATCGAATTTTTGAGATATCCAATAAATCTAGGAGCTGATCGCCTACAAATGGATTCTCGATTCTCAAAGGAATGGCTTTGTGTTAAAGGTTTGTTGAGAATTTTGTGAAACTTCAAAGACAAAAGTGGTCTATAGTTGGGTTGGATTACTATAGTAGATGCTACATTAATCTTACCCAATTATACTGTAGCAGTTAGCTACAGTATCCCTGCCAAGTACTACCAAGATTACTATCCTTGCTAGTAATGCTGTAGCTTTGCTGGCTTTGCTAGCTTTGCTTTGCTAGCTTGGCTTTGCTAGCTTTGCTTTGTTAGCTTTGCTTTGCTAGCTTTGCTTTGCTAGCTTTGCTTTGTTAGCTTTGCTTTGTTAGCTTTGCTTTGCTAGCTTTGCTTTGCTGTAGCTGTGCTGATTTTTATTGCAACTTTTGAGGAACATGTTTGAGGAACATAAAACTCAAAAATCGTTTCGAAAAACAAGCTGATTTATGAGCACCCCCCCCCTTGGCCCCCCGGGGGCCCCCCCCAGGGCGCCACAAAAAAACCGGGGCACTTGTTATTCATTGTTTTGTTAATTGTTATTCAAGAATTGTTATTCATTGCCACAACAATGACTCTAAAGAAGCTGCAAAAGCGTTGAAATGAATTGCCATATGTGTATCCCGGTTGTTTTTGTTTCCTTTTTGAGGAAACATGTTGTTCTTGCGAGAACAATCTGTTGAAACTACAGTAACCACATCTATAAGGGTTACGGTAGAACAGTAACCCTGGCAGTTTACTTATAGCACCAAATAACACCTGCCAAAGGTACGATAGCACCTAGCTACAGTAATCTTGGAAAACAAGACTCAGGAGACATCTTTTAACCCTGCCAGTACAATTGGCCAACCAGTACAAGCTCTTCTTTTTGGGCACTTTTTGAGACAGCCACCAGGCCTTCTATGGTGTAGTGGTTGGTGTGTTGTTCAAAGCTTTCTAATCTTGGGAAACAAGACTCAGGAGACATCTTTTAACCCTGCCAGTACCCTGTGTTGTTCAAAGCTTTCTCGACCGAGCAGTGGGCTGGGTTCGAGTCCGGCTGTGGACTTTTCGTTTAGTTAAACTTTTCAGAACTTTATCAAGATCTTTTTTTTTCATTCAGATCGATGGCTTGGACACTGTGGTGAATTTAGATCGTCTTTTCACGCAAATCGCCATCAACACCGAAGAGGACGGGATTTTTTGTCAGTTGACGCCGCCAAAACGCGTGAAACGGAACCCAGTCGATAAATGGTAAGCGAAAAAAAACTATGGGAACTTGTAAACTTAAAACTCAAGCATTTTAAACTGTAGAAAACTTTGTTCAGGTACATCTCAAGCGATAACTACAAAGATGAGACTTTTCCCGAGTACTGTAGCGGTCCTAGCTATATGATCTCGATGAAATCACTACGAGAAATCGTTACGCAAACTCGATTTCATCAAGTTTACAATATTATTGATAATTTAAAGTCGATTTTTTCAGCCAATCTTCATTGAGGACATTTTCTATACGGGCATTTTGGCTCAATCGGCTGGAGTTTCGATCCGAAATTCGGCGAACATTTTCGCGATAAATTGCCCGGAGCATCGCACGAGAAATGTGAGTGGAAGTTCTGTTTCTGAGCGTTCTGTTTCAAATTTGAGTTTGAAATCCTTGGAGCAATATTTTATGCAGTTCAAAAGTTTAACACAGTTGGAACTAGGGAAGATCAAAAACTTCTGCGCTGCAGGGACTCGAACCCGCGACCTTCGGCAAAATAGGAACCGTATTGGAACCGTATTAGATCAAAACAGGAACCGTATTGGAACCGTATTGGAACCGTATTAGATCAAAACAGGAACCGTATTGGAGCCGTATTGGAATCGTATTAGATCAAAACAAGAACCGTATTGGAACCGTATTAGTGAAACGCTGTGCTAACCATTACACCACAAAGCTGTTGATCTCCCTTACTCGAGAGGGAGTTAACTCACCCTTTCTGATGCAAATCCTCACTTTTTTCGCAACAGCTTTGTCTAGGAAAAAGGGGAATTAAGTGCACTAGAAAGGGTGCGTTTACAAGGACTACAAGTCTAATGTGAAAAATCATTCAATTTTCTGAATTTTTAACCTTTTCAGCACTTCCATCTTCAGTGCAATCACGAGGGAAAAGTTGAAACTTCAGTCATTTCAGCGCACTGCTTTGTAAGTTTTTTTGAATGCTATACTTGTAGATGTACTTTGTGCTCAAAAGCTTCGATACTTGTGGGTTATAAATCCACAGAGACTCAACTCGGTCAAGCAAGAAGCTGACAACTTTTGAGCGGTGATTATGTTCAGTGAAAGTAGAGTGCTCGTCTGAAGTGATCAGTCGATCAGTCGAACGAAAATCGATAACCGAGAAGAAGACTCGGTTGGGGATGCTTAACCGAGATGAGTCTTTGTGGATGACAATCACCGACAAGTACCAATAATTCTTTCGAATTTCCGCTCCATTATTTTGGGGCATCCTGTAGAAAGAAAAACAAAGCATACTATTAGTTTGAATACGATGTGTTGGTATCCCTTGCTCATTATTGGCAGGGACTACGCGGCCGCACGGATAAATTGTCCTATCCATATCGAAAAATATATCACCCATGAAAATATAATTCTAGTTTTAAATTTCCTACAAAATGATACATTAACCATGAAAATCGGTGCACTGGGGGCTGAGATCTACGGTCGGAGTACACAATACTACTGTTTCCGTTGCCCGTAGAAGAAACCTGACCTCAACGGGGAACTCCACGACCCCGAAAACCTATTAGGGTGTTGTTTTTGGAGTGCTAGCTTTTCCCGTTATCACCGACAAGTACCAATAATTCTTTCGGATTTCCGCTCCATTATTTTGGGACACTCTGTAGAAAGAAAAATAAAAGCATACTATTTTTGAATTTGAATACTATTTGTTAATATCCCTTGCTCATTATTTTCTTTACCAGCTAACCGCCCGCACAGATAAATTGTCCTATTCATATCTGAAAATATAATTCTATTTTTAAATTTCCCACAAAATTAACCATGAATGTATCACCGACAAGTACCAAAACTTCAAACGTACCCTATCTAGTATAGAGTGTGTTCCTCGCGAGTAAGTAATTACTCGAGTAAATTTGCATGAGTAATTTTTTACTCGAGTAATGCGTTTTCTAAAAAGTGCGCCTGCGCGAAAAAAAATATAAAAGCAATTTTTTGCGCAGGTTTTGGGAGTGGGACAAATGCGACCTTTTTTTTGCGCACCCGGACATTTGCGCACCTTTTTTTCCGCACTTAGCCCATTAGCGCACCTTTTTTCCCGTTTTAAAAAAGCTAATATTGACCAATTTCTATTCCAAAACTTGTTTTTCTAGGTAATTTTAGGGTGTCGAATTCAAATTTTGACATAACAGAGCGTGTGGAACCAATTTGAAAGACAGCTAGGTCAAATTACAGAAAATTGTTGATTTTTCTCTTTGTATAACTCCGTCCGTTCGCTTCCACAAGCTCTGATATGCCAAAATTTCGATTCTACGCCCTCAAATTACCTAGAAAAACAACTTTTGGAATAGAAATTGGTCAATATTAGCTTTTAGAGCTTTTTTAAAACGGGAAAAAAGGTGCGCTAATGGGCTAAGTGCGGAAAAAAAGGTGCGCAAATGTCCGGGTGCGCAAAAAAAAGGTCGCATTTGTCCTACTCCCCAGGTTTTTCAAAAAAAAAATCAATTTTTACATTGGAAGGGAATTTCCCCACCAAATAAACGGATGAGTACCTTTAAAAAGTATCGTATATAACGCGGGGCTCGTCAATTTTTTTTTTTGCAATAATTTTTGCTAAAAGTACGGTAATTTTTTTCCAAGTGTGCGTTTTAAAAAACGCATTACTGGTGAGGAACACACTCTACTATCTAGTGTATTTGTATTTTGATTTATAAGAAAAAATTAAATTGATTTTGAGTAGGCTAAAAGTCTATCCTTTTTTAAACCAATCAAAGTTTCTAAAAAAGCTAAAAACTCATTTTTAATTCTAATTCTTTCAATATTTAATAATTGAATTTAAAAAGAAATCGAAAACAGTCTAGCTTCTTGGAAAATCATCTTTGATAAAGGCTTTTTTTTCAGCAAAACGATCTCTCAAGTCTCTGGAGACTTCTCCAACGGGAAACGTGCCAACGAAAGGCTCGGCGTTTACGTTTTCGCTCATTACCCGATAATTAATGTACAGATAAATAAATATTTCGAAATCACAAGAGAATTTCTGACCTAAACACCAATTAACTTTAAAATAAATCGCCGAAAAGTTTCACGGTTTGATGAAATCGGAAATTTTATTAGAAACAGCCGAAAAAAAGTCATTCTTCGGCAATTTGATTTCGCCTATTTTCGCGGAGAATTCTCGGGATCACTTACAAAAACACATTTCCTTTTTTTTCTTTTTTCATTCATCATTTTTTCGAAATTCATTTAGACACTTTATATATATATGCTTTATTCATTCAGGGGCGAATAGAAGCGAATCAGATAATCATAACCGCATATAACATATTGCTACAATGCTTAAACTCATTCCCATTTTTCTCTTTTCATTCATCATTTTTTCGAAATTCATTTTGACACTTTGACTTTATATGTCTTTGTTTCCAAGTATTAACTCATCTTTTCTCTTCCGGATTCATTTCTACCACAAGATTCTTTCGTTCTTTCGTTTTTTTTTTGATTGCTTTGCATTTTTTAGACTTTGTGGGAGTGGGACAAATGCGACCTTTTTTTGCGCACCTTTTTTTCCGCAATTAGCCCATTAGCGCACCTTTTTCCCGTTTTAAAAAAGCTCTAAAAGCTAATATTGACCAATTTCTATTCCAAAAGTTGTTTTTCTAGGTAATTTTAGGGCGTAGAATCGAAATTTTGGCATATCAGAGCGTGTGGAACCAATTTGAAAGACAAAACGGCTAGATCAAATTGATCAAATCAAATTACAGAAAATTGTTTATTTTTCTCTTCGTATAACTCTGTCCGTTCGCTTCCACACGCTCTGATATGCCAAAATTTCGATTCTACGCCCTCAAATTACCTAGAAAAACAACTTTTGGAATAGAAATTGGTTAATATTAGCTTTTTAGAGCTTTTTTAAAACGGGAAAAAAGGTGCGCTAATGGGCAAGGTGCGGAAAAAAGGTGCGCAAATGTCCGGGTGCGCAAAAAAAAGGTCGCATTTGTCGCACTCCCGACTTTGTTTATTTAATTTCATTCAGTTTCATTTAATTTCATTCAATTTTTGAGTTTATTTTAGACTTTTAGACTTTTTTGAGCGATATATTTGAGAAAAATATAATTCTTTTCCATTCAACAATGTCCGACTCGTTCTCGATTATCTCACTTGGATTTCAGTTGGGAAATTGTAAGTTTTAAGTGTCATTTGTAGTTTTTAACTACTTAAATAATCTCTATTGTTTTCTGGAAGTTTGCTTTGTGCTTAAAAATGAAAAAAACACTCTTTCTGGCATAATGAAACGCGTTTGTTGTTTTGTTGTTGTTGTTTGTTGTTGTTGTTGTTGTTTGTTTGTTGTTGTTGTTGCAAGAGAGCGCTTTGAGTGCACTAGAAAAGAAATGTTTCCATTTTTGATGATTTAGCCGATAAACGACGATAAACTTTTAAAACTTTATCCGAGTAAAAGAAAAAGAATAGTTCAAGTTTAATGAAAGAATTTGAGAGCATTAAGTTCGTTGAAGTTAAAAGCACCCTTTTTGTTGTTAAAAGCATCCTTTTTCGATGAAGCTTTGTTAAAAGCATCCTTTCTGGTGTACAAAACTTTTGAGTGAGCGCTGAGCGCTGAACGAAACGAATTCAGGTGCTTCAACAGCTACTGCAAACCTTTTATTATCATTATTGATCGTTTATCGAAAAGAGTTACGACGAGAGAAAGAATTGATCCTTTTGGCGTATTATTGTTTCACTGATGCCCTCTATGCATATGGGGCTTTCTATTTAGCACTACGACGCTTTCAATCAACACTCTGGCCTTACGGTGGGCGCTACGGGCCTTACGGTGGCCTTACAGCCACCACAATTACCACAATCATAGCGCCACACTTCAGAAGGCATAGATTGAATTAAATTGAGTCAATCGTCATATCTCCTGGAAAAATGCTCATTATCTAATCGATTTAAACTTTAAACTTTTTAATTAAATAATGGGTATCGTTCTAAGAGACATACCTAAAATTTACCTATAAAAATCAGAACGATTGACTCAATTTTAGCTAATCTAGGTCTTCTGAAGTGTGGCTTTATAATTGTAGGCATGCACATTACCTTATTATAAGCCATTACCTTACATTTTTAGCTTTTCCCGACGTCTCGCCGAATAATTGTATCTTTCATCCACTTCATCTTTTAATCGTTTTCTCCTATCCAGCCGTTCCTCTAGCGGAATTGGGTAGATTTCAATTTTCAGATACAATACAGTGCTCATTATATTGTAGACAACAGTAGCTGGCTTTACCAGTAGCTGGCTATTAGTCTGTTCGTATCAGTATCAGTTAAGATGTGCTATATAAAAGAGTCATTTTTCTAGCTAAAAATATTCACTTTAACACAACAACGACCATCAGGAACCACCAGAAGTTTTTTTGGAAAATTAAGGGCAACTGGCTTTATTTTTTTGAACACCCTTTAGTTGTGTCATTTAAAATCACAAAAAAAATTAAAAATTCAAAATTGAGTACCACTACGAGGGGTAAAACACGGCGCTTGTGAGTTGCAGACCAGTCGACTGCGCCAAGGCGACGTAAACCGTAGCAGTAGCAAATCATTTTACCATATTTCAGCTCTAACAATCGATCGAGGCTACGCGATTTTTCGACCAGCCAAATATTTCCGCATGGATCATCGAGCATCGATTCGAATGGTAATTGGTTAGTGAAAGAGAAACAGCTAAATCATCTCAAATGATTGAATCGATTTCCAGGAATCACCATTATCGCCTTTTCTTTTGTCGGCTATTGTATCTATGACTCATTGACACGATCAGATCCTCCACTATCCGTTCGTTATGGTTGTTATCCAGAAGTCTATTCAACGATCTTCAACAGTATCATGTTTGGCGGGAAAGCTGTCCTTTATGCAATCTGTTGCATTGTCTATTTACCGATCATTTGTCGATTGCTTCATTTAGTGAGTGAAGATTGAAAAGTCATTGATTAAGACTTTCTTGTGAATGATTAAGATTATTTCTTGTGAACTGAATTCTATAATGAACTTTAACTTTGGTTAAGCTCAAAACTTTTATCTCTAATAAATAACTACTTACCGTAAATACTGTAATAGTACCCCACCCCAGGGGGGCAGGCGCGTAGTCGCATAGGCTTTTGAGACGCCTTTTTTCGAGCAAGCCCCCTACTTTTAAAAAAATGCGCGCTTAGGTATCAAAAGAATAGCCCTGAATTTCAGGGCTATTTTTTGATACCTAAGCGCGCATTGTAGCATAAACCAGTGTCGAGAAAAACTCGTTCAAAGCTAGACTACGCAACGCTCCGCACCGTCATTATGGGCGTGGGGTACTATTACAGTATTTACGGTAGGTAGCGTAATGGATAACGATTAGATCTACCGCACGCAAGATCAGGGTTCGGTCCCAGCTTTTCAGAGTTTTTCTTTTGAAGCAACTTCTAGCATTTTGCAACTAATTGCATTACCGTATTTACTCTATTAGTGGGGTCCTCTCTAATAGTGGGGTCGTCTGGAGGGGGGTTGAAAAAATAGTGGGGTCCTCCTAATATTGGTAACGAAAGTGATACACAATTGTTGATCTCTTGGATTAGCTTTTACTGTTTGTTAATGTTTTGTTACGGTTAAAGCTAAATAAAATATGAAGCCAAACTTGTTTTTCAAGAATTTCGGAGAAAATTGTATCTTTTCAACTTAACTTTGGTTTTATGTTCTTTTAATTTCTCTAATAGTGGGGTCCTCTCTAATAGTGGGGTCGTCTGGAAGGGGATTGAAAAAATAGTGGGGGACCCCACTAATAGTGTAAATACGGTATTATGTAGAAAAATGATTCAAGAATATAGACTAATATCTTTCAAATGCAAAGACTATAAAGTAATCGTTAGCAATGATCTTTGGTATCAAAAAATAGCCCTGAATTTCAGGGCTTTTTTTTGATACCTAAGCGCGCATTGTAGCATAAATCAGTGTCGAGAAAAACTCGTTCAAAGCTAGACTACGCAACACTCCGCACCGTCATTATGGGCGTGGGGGACTATTACAGTATTTACGGTATAGTCTATGTGCTTTCCATCTTTACTTTGTACAAAAATCAGAAACACATCCTTTCTGGGGCATTTGGTCCTTGGTTTTCTTATTTTTTCCAAGAGTGACCAAGGATCGAGCGTGCTAGGTAGAGTTGGTTTTGGAATTTTTTTGAGCACAAAGCACACCACTGAATTTATTGATAGAGAAACTTAGAGAATAATATGGTCATTTTGAATCTAAATTTTCATCATTTCAAATCAAAAACTTTAGCATGGCACACATAAAAAATGCAAATGTCAGCAGTGTCAAATGAAAAGATCGTGCGCAAATATTGGTGAGTTTTCAGAAAGTCGTCTAAATTTGTTTTTTCCCAAAATTGATCACTGATTTAAACTCAAAGTCAAAGTCAAACTTTACTTTACTTTACATCTTTGCTTTACTTGGCTTTACTTGACTTTACTTGACTTTACTTGACTTTATTTTGCTTTACTTTACTTTACATCTTTGCCTTACTTTACTTGACTTTACTTGACTTTACTTTGCTTTACTTTGCTTTACTTTACATCTTTGCCTTAATTTACTTTACTTTACTTTACATCTTTGCTTTACATCTTTGCTTTACTTTACATCTTTGCTTTACTTTACTTTACTTTACTTTACTTTACATCTTCACTGTACATTTTACAATGTTTACCCTTTCAGGAGTGCTAATCGTCGGCTTATTAGTGTTAATTATTGTGCCGACACCTTGTTTACTCTTCTTTCCGGACTCGAAAGTGAGTTTCGCAAAAGGAAACCGATTTTTTTTATATGGCTTGTAAATAATGTGCTTTTTGTAGCTGTAGATGAATGAAATTTTCGTAATATTCTTTAAGAATGAGATTTGAAATGGGGAAAGAAAAGAAAGAGCGATTGCTGGTTGTGCTTGTTGCTATGAGATGAATTCAATGAAAAAAATCAGAATGGGGCTTATTGAATTGGATTTTTTTCTTTGTGTACAATAGTTTTAGCATCAGAATTGCTAGAAACTAAAGTACCAAGACATAATAGAATTTGGATTCATTCTAACAACTTCATTCTAACAACTTCATTATAACTTTCTAACAATTCATTGTAACTTCAAGATTGGTTCAAAGTAAAGCTTTGATTATTGGATGATCTTTAATTGCAGAAGATCATAAAATTTTCTGGATTTGAACAGTTCAAATTGACTTAAGTACACTTGACTCTGGATTTGAGTCAAGTGTACTTAAGTCAATTTGAAGTCAAGTGTACTTAAGTCAAAGTCAAGTATACTTAACTCAATTTGAAGTCAAGTATACTTAAGTCAAAGTCAAGTGTACTTAAGTCAATTTGAAGTCAAGTATACTTAACTCAATTTGAAGTCAAGTATACTTAAGTCAATTTGAAGTCAAGTGTACTTAAGTCAAAGTCAAGTATACTTAAGTCAATTTGAAGTCAAGTGTACTTAAGTCAATTTGAAGTCAAGTATACTTAAGTCAAAGTCAAGTGTACTTAAGTCAAAGTCAAGTATACTTAAGTCAATTTGAAGTCAAGTGTACTTAAGTCAATTTGAAGTCAAGTATACTTAAGTCAATTTGGAGTCAAGTGTACTTAAGTCAATTTGAAGTCAAATGTACTTGAAAAGATTTTAGTTATTTGAATTTTTAATGATAATTTTATTTAGCTAACTGTTAGACAAGTCAATTTAAGTATAATAGCCTGTAAATGTTGAAATTCTAAAGCAAATTGATTACCAAAAAGACACAGTTTATCAAGAATTCACAACTTAGCCAAGCAATCAAATCTTTTGAAAACTTAGCTTAATTTCTAAAACATAAACATTGTGCCGAATGAAATTGCAGTACGGTACGTCGTTGTTAGCATTTCGATGTACAGCTCACACTTTGCGCTCATTTTTCTTGTACTAAAAAACAGTTTTCCTAAAAGTTTTTTGTATCATCGTGTAGCCCAATTGAAGGGCTACAATTTTGATGTGAGACTTGCACAAAGCGAAGACCCTGGTAAATCCCAATTCCATTCGGCGCAATCTTCATGGTCCCTTAATTTCTAGGTGGTCGAGCTCTTGTTCTACAACTTGGCTCTCTCCAAGCCGTGGCTCAACGTGATCTTCGCTTTGGTTTCTTTCAGTCAAATTCGTCGCCTCGTGTTCCCAGTGCTGAAAAAGCGATTCGCTGCGCTCAGAAATAGTGAGTTTTCCTTAAAAATCTTGAAATTCAACGTTTGAGTTAAAGGTTTCTATTGGGAAAATGAATATGACTTTCAAAAGTTTTTTCTGAAATGTATAAAAGATCCATAAAATGTTTGTATAATTAAAAAAGCTCTATTATTGCTCCACAAAATGACTTTTAAGAGTTTATGAAAAGCTTTTGTTTTGTGGTTTTTATGGGCTCCTAAACGCAAAGCAGTCAAAGTCAAGTCGTTTGATTTTTTTTATTGAATTGAAGCGCTTTTTAAATTCGATTTCAAATGTGATTTTATAGAGAAATAAGTGATCTTTATAATGAGACTACCGTATTTTCGTAGTAGTGCAATAGTAGTGCGCCCCGGCGAGCCGAGTTGGTGATTATTTTGCGGTTCCCAAGCTTTTGCAGAAGCTCAACACTCAAATCCTCCACTAGATCTCATCGTCAGCTACATTTTCCGATCCCACATCGATAGGTTCTGATAAGCGGTTCTCGAGATTTCGATTAACTTAGGCGACGCTCAGGGTGCACTACTATTAGGGAAAATACGGTATTTAGTTATTTAGTTATTTTTGCGATTGATTTAGTTGCTTTCAATTTATAGGTCGCGGTTCTCGGATCTCTTCGGCTGGAGGACGCGAAAAAGAGTTTGAGATGCCGACAACAAGATCCAATTGATAGCTTAAAGATAACTTCTTAAATTGATTTTCAATACTTAATTTATAAATATTATTGTATAAAGTTTTTTGACAATATCCCTCTTGTTTGAATAACCTTAAATAATTATCAGTAGTTTTACGATTGAAATGCGATTTTCTGCTAGTTTACTTTGCTTTTGCTTTATTCATTTCTTTATTACACCCTATTTCTATGATCTCAAATCTACTTGTACTTGGAAATTCGTCTTCAAACGTTTATAGGTTTATATTGTATCTTGAAACTCATGACTTTTCAAGAAGACTTTCAAGAACTTCCAAAATCTGTGATCATCCCAAATAGACTTGTTTTCGTTGTGTACTTTGTGTTTAAAACTACGTAAATAACGTAATCTTTCTGGCGGATTTATGAGTAAAAGTATTGTCAGCTCCGAGCCAAACTGATATTTTCGTTACTATTGTTATTATTGAATGATTTGTCTATTCTTATGCAAATGTGTCCTCCCCTGTGCTTATCCCTTTTATTGCCGAGAAGGGGTGGTCCTTGGGATTGCCTAGGAGGACAAGTGAGACTCTCATTTGTCAGAGTGAGAGTCCTTGTCAGAGTGAGAGTCCTTGTCAGAGTGAGAGTCCTTGTCAGACTCTCAGAGTCCCCCCTCCCCCTTACATTTATTTGTAATCTATTCGTCTTATTATACTACTGTAAATAAAGATACATATCTTCCGGGTCTATGCAATTACAGGTCGGTACAGCTACAGGTCGGTCATTTCATAGGGACTCCCCTCTAATACGTTGGAGGAGTTGAGTTGGGTTGTCGGGGTGTTAGAGATGGCGGGGATATCAAAAGGGGTCCACTCTCTTTAACTTAACCCAAATTCTAGCCCACATCCGTTTATACATAGGAACGAATAGTATGCTATGATTTAAATATTTTCAAAGTCCTCTCAAAACTCTCAGATCAATCTTTGAAGTTTTCATTTTTTCAAAAAATCTGTCATCATTTCTTTTTCAATAAAAAGTTTATCAAGTGTTCACTCTTTCGCTTGGCATCACCACATTACTGAATGGCTCATGAATAATCGAAGTTTTCACCTCAATCACCGTTTGTTTCAACGAAACACTCCACCCACTCAACCCATACAAAACAGCTTTTATTGTCGATCGGAGATCTTTGAAGAGCAACAAAGCCACGATTACATTCATCCATGGTTTTAATAAGAGAACGTTGTAGAAAACGAGAAGGCCATTTGGACTGGGGAAAAGAATGGTTAAGATAAGTGTTGGGATGATGATGAAGATGAGAAGAGCGGCTATCAGAAGACCTGAATAGATGATTGTTTAGAAATGCACCGGACTCACGAGTGAAACGACCAGGCGGGAAACGATCGATTCTTCTCGAGAATTCAGTCTTTTCATTGTGAAAAGCTATCATATCAGCTATCAGCTACAAAACCCCAAAGCCAATTCGATTCTCTTGGGACTTTTCTTGGGACTTCTCTTGGGACAAAGGTTTAAAATAAACGGTGAGCTATGCATCGGAGGCGCGTGCCAGATCAAGAGCGACCACACGGCCGCACAAAGAACGCCTCGCCAGTCCCTACAAAACCCCAAAGCCAATTCGATTCTCTTGGGACTTTTCTTGAGACAAAGGGTTAAAATAAACTCCGTCAATAGATTCTACGACCCTGGGGCACAAATTTTTAACAAATCCCTTTGAGAATCATTGACAAAGCAGAAGAAAAATCACTGTAAAGTGACTGGCGATGTGTTCTTTATGCGCCGCGTAATCGCTTTCCATCTGGCACACGTCCCCGATAGATAGGTGTGTTTTTTTGAGCTCCAAACTCGATCGGAAAGGAACAGCAGCTTCGTCTTCCTGCGCGTGGCTATGCTTAAACTGCTGGGAACAATTTCTGTCCCAGATTTGGCTGTATTTTTGCTACAAATTCCACAGAATGCCAGGTGAACCCAGCTGGTCAAAAATTCCTCGTTTGTCCTCTAACCGCTCTTTATTCACAGCCATTTTTCAGCTCCCCAGTCCCTCCTTGTTTTTGATTGCTTTCATAATTTGATTTTAATTGTTTTGCTTTTTTTGATTTTTTGATTGCTTTTTTTCCATTCTCTGATCAAAAAACAACATTGGAGTCTCTGTAATTGAACAAAGCCAAATAAACTTTAGAGAGGCAGAAAGCCCGCGTTTAGGAGAGCAGAAAGTACGCATCAAAGTATCAAAGTGTGGCTTTTTCCTAAGAAAAGTCTCAAGAGAATCGAATTAACCTTTAGTTTTACATATGATAGCCTCTCACAATGTAGAGAAAAGGATTTCCGAGAAGAATCGAATTTTCTTTGCTTAAGAGACATTTTGTTACTTGTTCCAAGAATAGTTTAAGAACTTGTTCAGGAAAATTGCAGGACGATTGGTAAATTTCTTTTCGCTAACCTATCACCAACGAAGCTCTAGCTGTGGCTCTCATCCGCTCTGAAGTCGAGTTTTTCATAATCTAAAGTGAGCATAAAATGTTTTATTTACTAAATCACTCACTGAACGAACTTTCCATAGAACTGGTATGTACAAAAGGCAACAAGAAAGATAGAGAACGACTTTGCCAAAGTACATTCCATAATAAGTGAGTCGTGTGTAAGTGTCGAGATAACAGCCTTGAGAGATCATCGTTTTATTTGCTCTTTCTTCAATTGATGTATCGATGATGCTAAGGGTTGTCACAGATCCAGAGATTACGGTAATCACTAAATACTCGAAGTACTAACATTTAAAAGTACAGTACAGTACAGTACTATGCACAGTACCTACGAGTATCACGAGCACATTCCTCAGCGGTATTCGCATATATAAAAGGGGAAAATATAAGGCCAAAATGCGATCGAAAGTGAGATTGATCTCGGCAAGAGGCACCGAATAATAAGTGAAAAGAATGATGACAAGGGCTGGATGGGTGATACAATTCATACGAGGCACCAGGGGCCAGTCTGAAAATGATTGGCTTTGATCGACTGGATTTGATCGACTGGCTTTGATCGACTGGATTTGATCGACTGGCTTTGATCGACTGGATTTGATCGACTGGATTTGATCGACTAGATTTGATCAACTGGCTTTGATACTCTTATCATTGAGCATTTAACACGTCACTTGATCTTTTTTCCAATTATTCCATCTAAAGCCAGGTCAAACAAGCGCAAATCTTGACAAGCCTCACTTCTGACCGTCTTAAAGTACTTTTTGTCGTCAGATCAGCTATAAAGCCAGACTAGATCAAGTCAAAGTCTAAACCAGACCAAGGTTTCTGGTTTCTTTATTTTTTTTTGACTGGTTTCTTTATTTTTTAAGTTGAACACGCTGGTTCTTTTATGGCTTGGAAGACAAAAGATTAACGCCTGGCCTCGAACCCGCGACCTCTCGCTTATCTTACCGTTTACCAGACAGACGCTCTACCAATGAGCTAGACTGACAAGTGGCCTTGTCGGGTCGGTAGGCTTGTTATGTCTTATCCCCTCCCCTCTTGCGGGGGGTAGTAAAGCATAAGATCCCATCCTGGTGGCGAGGCGAAGCTTATCTGTGTAGCTCATTGGTAGAGCGTTCGCCTGGTGAGCGAGAGGTCCTTCGAGAGGTCGAACCCCGGCACCGACTATTTTTTGTATTCCTAGCCTCAACCCAACTTTTCTTGACAAGGCTTTTCAATGAAATTCTTTAGGACAAAATTTGTCTTGGATATTTTAGAATTTTCTAAAGATCGTTTTTGCGCCAAAGGTTTTATAAGGGTTTTGTTTATTTGTCTTGTCAAAGAGCGCGCTAAATTGAATTATTCAATTGTGACGTACCCTCTTGATGAAGAGAAATGAGAAGACGACGAATGGCAAAGAAACAGCCACCAAAAGCGAGAAGAGACTCGTTGAAACAATAATATCCAATGACAAGTAATTCATTCTGATTTCTCAGCTTTTTTTTGCTGATGATCATCGCGGCGAGGAGTGCATTTGCGGCACCGACAAGGAGAGCTAAACTTTGCTTTTGATCCTAAGAAAATCACATATTAAGTGCGCCAGGGAGGGTGCGTTTTTGAGCACAGAGTACATGGAGACCTCGAAAACCTACCGTAAATACTGTAATAGTACCCCACCCGCCTCGTACAGTCGCGTAGTCGCAAAAGTTTTTTAGTTTTTCATCTTTTTCAAAGCGCCCGTACTTTCAAAAAATGCGTCTTTGGTATCAAAAAATAGCTGAAATTCAGGGCTATTTTTTGATACCTAAGCGCGCATTGTAGCATAAACCAGTGTGGAGGAAAACTCGTTCAAAACTAGACTACGCAACACTCCGCACCGTCATTGTGGGGCTGGGGTGCTATTACAGTATTTGCGAGTGTTACGTAGTCTAGCTTTGAACGAGTTTTTCTCGACACTGGTTTGTGCTACAATATGCGCTTAGGTATCAAAAAATAGCCCTGAATTTCAGCTTTCATTTGATACCTAAGCGCGCATTGTAGCATAAACCAGTGTCGAGGAAAACTCGTTCAAAGCTAGACTACGCAACACTCCGCACCGTCATTGTGGGGGTGGGGTGCTATTACAGTATTTACGATATAAGGGTGTTGTTTTTGGAGCTGTTAGAGCTTCTCCCGTTCTCGAGATGAAAGTTGCGGACGGACGGACGGACAGACAACCCTCAATTATATATTAGTAGATGTTACAAAGCTTATTTAACATTTATCTCGCTTTTTAGTCTAACATTACCGATTTTTAACGATTTAAAACTTCAAATTAGAACAATTTCTCGAGGTAGTTTAAAGGTTTAAAAATAGGATTCACAAAAATGATATTAATATTTTCAAAATTCAATCATTTAGCTCGAAGTTAACTTCAAAAAAAACTCACTGTTGACGATTTGAAAAAGCGTTGAAAACATGACGAAAGTCACCATTTTTATATACAAATTTTGAGAATTTTCAATTCAATTCTGAAAATCAAAAGAAAGCAAGATACGAGCAATGAATTGAATCGAAACTGAAACAAAATTTCCTTGATTTTTGCTTGTTGGCCGATTTTTTGAGCTCTAAATGAATTTTCATTTATTCAATTCCTTCGGGGTAAAAAAATTATCGAAAATGTAAGTAAAATAAAGAATTCATTTATCTATTTTATTAAAAAAAAAAAGAGAAAAATTGTGATTCATCTTTAAATAAATTGAAAAATATAGTAAAAAAAAAAGCTTACAGAATAAAATCACCTTGTGCAGAAAAGTAGCTCTTTTCTGTGAAATCTTATTTGATGTTTTGATTTTGAATAGCTCTGATTCTCTTGTCCTTCCTCTAAAGATCGTTTTGTGTGATAAAAGGGACGGAGGCCACTTGGTATTGCTTTTCTTTGGCTTTGAAACACTGAAACAACGATGATATAAAAAATAGTAAAATGATTGCATCGAGTACTGTCCATACAATCATTTTACTCCCAGGCTTAGTTAAGAAGTAAAGTAAAGTAAAGTAAAGTAAAGTAAAGTAAAGTAAAGTTAAGTTAAGTAAAGTAAAGTAAAGTAAAGTAAAGTTAAGTTAAGTTAAGTTAAGTAAAGTAAAGTAAAGTAAAGTAAAGTAAAGTTAAGTAAAGTAAAGTAAAGTAAAGTAAAGTAAAGTAAAGTAAAGTAAAGTAAAGTAAAGCACACACCTTTTTGCTTTTCAACAAAAAAGTTTGATTTGTACAATATTAATAAGAACTTGTTAGCTCTTTGTTTACAAGATCAATTTTAGAGTTTTATTGAGTTTAGAGTTGTGCTTTCTTTTTGTGTCTTTAGTACAACAAAACGACATCTAGTGGGCAAATTATTGATGTAAACAAAAAGATAACAAACACTTATTGTTAGCAAACAAACAAACAAACAACAACAAGCTAACAAACACTAGCTGTGCTGAGCGTCCGCTACGCAGCCGCACGGAGAAATTGTCCTATGGCATCTATCGAAATTATTCTAGTTTTAAATCTCCTACAAAATGATACATTAACCATGAAAATCGGTGCACTGGGGGCTGAGATCTACGGTCGGAGTACGCAATCCTACTGTTTCCGTTACCCGTAGAAAAAATCTGACCTTAACTGGGAACTCCGCGACCCCAAAAACCTATAAGGGTGTTGTTTTTGGAGCTCTAGCTTCTCCCGTTCTCGAGATGAAAGTTGCGTACGGACGGACGGACAACCCTCAATTAGTAGATGTAGATATTAGTAGATGGTACAAAGCTTATTTAACATTTATCTCGTTTTTAGCCTTTTTAGCCAAACCTTTAAATTATCTATAGATGATCTTGATCTTGAAGCTCCAGTGGATCCTTGACGTTATCTGTGCTACCCATATATTACATATATTATATATCGTGTTGCTTTTTATCGGCGATTTTCGTGTTATGTGTATTAATCTTAAATCTAGCGCACTTTATCTCAGGTCATGAATAAAGTATCTATATAACGTTGCCGATGTTTAACGATTTAAAACTTTAAACCTTGGCTGATATTGTTCAAATGAGACAAAAATAAAAACGTTTAATCGAAACATTTTTCGAGGAATGTAGTTAAAACAGCGCCATAATAGAAAACATTCAAAAAAGCGCAATCCAAAAAAACAAGTCGGTTCAAGTTTTAGATCAAAAAATTCCTTGATTTCTTGGCTACATGATGGGTGAAAAAGTTTTCAAAAAAAGTTAATACTTCATAGATAAAAAGAGCGCTCAAAATTGGCTTTTAAAGTTATTCAGTCAACCAACCAAATCGACACATTTAAAATGCTAATTTTATCAATAAAATATTAACTTTTTAAAAAAACTTTTTTACCCATCATGTAGCCAAGAAAGCAAGGATTTTTTTGATATAAAACTTGAACCGATTTGTTTTTTGGATTTTGAGAAATTTGACGGCATTGTTTTGAACGTTTTCTATTCGACGCTACATCTTGTTTTCAGCTTTTCTTTAAAGACTAGATATTTTTTACTTCCGTTAAAAAAAACAATTACAAGTTTAGTTCAAGCCAATTAAAAAAAGTTATTTTTTTTTAGGATTTGGAAATCTTGATGTTAATAAATAAAGAAAATTATTTATTTTTTTTTTTTTTACTTTCCTTTTTTAAAATTGATTAATGAAAAACTTTTTTAGGATGTTTTTTTTTTTTTCAAAAAAAAAAAGACTGCCCAACCTAATAAATCTAGAGCTAAGATTACAATAGCTTTCAAAAGTTGGCATTTAAATAAATAAGACATTTAAGTAAACGCATTAGTTGAAAGAGGCTCAACTTAAAACTAGAATCTTTTTGCTACTGCCACTGAACAGTGTGACATCAAATTTGAACTTTTGAAATTAAAAATTCGCTTCTTAGCACTAATCAAAGTAAAAAGAAAGAAATAAACAAAATGGGGAATGATTTTTTTTAAAAAAGATTTCAGTTTAAAAGTTTTTTGAACTTAAAAATGACTCTAAACATTAATTATTTTCCAAAAAGCCAAGGGAATTCAATTTTTACTTCAGAGAGCTCTATGTTTTCATTGTTTTTTCGATAAAAATACGTAAAAAAAGCAAATTTTCAACGAGATTCAAAATTATTAAATGAAAAGACATGACTTTTCACCAAATTTGGCATTTTTTGAGATCATTTGACTTCAAAAAACACTCGAAAGAATGTAAAAATTATGCTCGGCTGAGTTCAGTGCGATCAAATCATGGAAATTGGTGCACTGGGGGCTGAGATCTAGGCTCGGAGTACGCAATACAACTGTTTCCGTTGCCTGCAGAAAAAATCTGACCTCAAAGAATGTAAAAATTATGCTCGGCTGAGTTCAGTGCGATCAAACTCACTAGTTTTTTTTTTTGGTGATTTAAACAAAATTAACATATTCTTTTGAATTTCTTTACTTGATTTCCTTTACTTTCTTTACTTTCTTTACGGTTTACTTTCTTTAATTTACTTCCTTTACAGTTTACTTTCTATACTCTCTTTACTTTCTTTACTTTCTTTACTTTCTTTACTTTACTACCTTTACAGTTTACTTTCTATACTTTCTTGATTTTCTTTACCGTTTGCTTTCTTTACTTTCTTTACAGTTATCTTTGAATATCAGAAATAATCTCCGTGTCAGTCAAGAATCTTAAAGTACCTTTGACCGGCACTGTACCTGAGTCGTTTTTATAATCCCTATTGCTCACTCAATGTTTTTCCGAAAATTCACCCATTCCTGAATTATTATCTCTTTTTTTGTTGCTTTCTCGCCTGAATGCCCTTTCTAGCAAAAATACGGGTAAACACATGCAAAACAAACAAAAAATTTTGATTATAGACTTTGATTGTTCAATTTTTCATTTTATAAATCTTTTTCCCGTTTCATTTCCACTTTATTTCAATGTTTTAGTAGATTTTGGTGACCTCGAACCAGACGAACTCACTTTTTCTCTCACAAATTTAGCAAACTCTTGAAAAACTCTCGTGATCTCATGGCAAAAAGAGGAATTTCACGAAAAATCTCCAATTTTTGTCTGCAAAAGATTTTAAACTCTTTCTGAAAATTGAAAGAATTTAAAAATCTTCAAAAATTGATTTGCATTAGTCGATTCACTTAGAGAATTTAAGTTTTCAGACAAAAATTAGAGATTTTTCCAAATTGCTAACGAAATTTTGTTTTCTTGATGATTAAAAGATTAAAAATTCTCTGTTTTTGTTGAAAAAGTGTTCATTTTATGTATTTATGGGCTTCTCTTTTGGAGAGATTAATTCCCTGTAATGGTCGCGTGATCGTGTTTGTTGATGGGATAAAGTGGAACGATTTTCCACGCAAAAAGATATTCTTCACTGGAAAAGGTGGAAATTTTTATAGATATTTTAAATCTTTATATATTTTATACTTGACTAGAGTAAGGTTATATCAGTTATATCAGCCTCGAATCTTATATTCAAGCTGAACTCTCTAGAAACAAAGCATTATAGTAAAAATTAAGAAA